CATTTATATAGATCCTTACACATTGTAAAGTAGTTTTGCACATCTTCTTTGATTTAATCTTCAAAACAGCCTTATATTTTGATTATGTGCATTTTGAAGATCAGAAAATCAAAAGAAAGTGATGTGCAAAAGGACACACACACACACAGTCACACACTCCATCTGGAGTCTTTTGATTCCAGATCATTACAAGTTAGGAAGTGACGGTGGCAATCAGCGTCAAGAGAGAAACTATGAACTCACCCAAAGACAGAGGAGAATATACAAAGTCCCACAGAAGTTTGTCAATACAGATATTAGTTACGTAGTATTTCTAAATATGATTTTTCCTGATTCACATTTTTCAAAATAACAACAGTAATAACACTGACTAGAAAACAGTTTGAATATTGACTAGAAAACCCTACCCGTACCGTAAAGAAAGGAGCATTGAGCCAGTCGATAAGAGTTCTTATCATTTGTTGTAGTACTATCGTGGCTAATTAAGAAATTGGTACGTTCAGAACTCTGTGTAATCACATAAGAAAATGTAAATGAAAATGAATGACAATTTATCCTCTTAGAAAGATCACAAGTGGAAGATTTGGCAGAGGAGGTTAGCTTGTATTTGTTTTTAAACCAAAGCAATACTGTTTTCTCAGACGTGTGGCTGATTTTGTTAAGAAAGCTGAGGAAGGACTGTGTTTTACTTTCCCTTAGACAACAATGGCTGATCATTCTCTTACAGTTCCAGCAAATCTGCTGCTGTTGGCTTTCACCAAGCTCTGACATCAGAACTTGAAACCTTGGGAAAATCTGGTGTCAAAACTTCATGTCTCTGCCCAGTTTTTGTCAATACTGGGTTCGCCAAAAACCCAACCACAAGGTGAGGTCAAAAAGGAATATGACATGAGAAATGGAAATGAAAGCTATATGAGAAATCTTTAGGTGGGGCAACTGAGAAAATTAAAAAAAACAAAAAAAAAGGAAAATTATTTTTGGAGCCCTGGTGGCACTGTGATTAAGAGCTTGGCTGCTAACCAAAATGTCGGCAGTTTGAATCCACCAGCTGCTCCTTGGAAACCCTGTGGGGACAGTTCTACTCTGTCCTAAAGGGTCGCTGTGAGTCGGAATCAATGGCAACGAGGTTTTTTGTTTATTTAATGTTATTTTGAGGCATTGGTCCTATATATTCACTCAAAAGATCTAATAAATTTCTTTTTAAGCTCAACCTCATTTGAGGCTACAGACTCTTAAGTTCTGAACTAGCTGTGCTGTCTCCAGCGGCAGTCATTTCCTGGCAGTGAAGTCCTAGGAACCCTTCATAGCTAATGTAGGGCTAGAGCATGAGTACTTAACAAGGGCATGATCTGTAATAAAGACTGTGATATGATTGGGACTCCTGCCTGTTTTCTTAGATAGGGAATCGGGCCCTATAAAAAGTCCTCCTAGTAAGCACTCAGGTTTAGTGTATTATGGGCTGTGCTAAGTGCACCAGGCAGAGTGGTGGGAGAGTCACAATAGATGAGAAGGGTAAGAGTAGTGGGACCCTAGGTGGCGCAGGTGCTAAATGCTAAAGATTTGGGATTGGTTTTACCTCGGCTGCTGGATTCTGAATTTCTTGAGTGAAGGGATGAGATGTCAATATGCCATTATCAGACTTGATTCAGAGACAGGGTTGATGGATCCAGGTGGTAGAAAATCAGCAAGGGAAGAGGCAGAAAGAATAACTTAGAAAAATGCTGATTTGTATTATTTTCTAATGGCTTCCCACTCAATACCATGGAAACTTCAAGTACATGATAATCTGCAATAAACCGCAGTATCTCAAGGAAGGACGTTTTAGCGTTCATTGCTTACCTAACTCATGCACACAACATTTTTATCCTTCTGTTCACTAGCCATTAATACATGCCTAAACATCTTAGCTTTGCTACAACATTTTCAATCCATTTACATTTTAATTCTGTCATCATCTTGCACTAATGAGCCTTCTACACTGGACCTGAGATTATGCGTTCTTCTCAAAACCCATGTACACAGTCTCCAGTATAAGAGAAGCCACTCCTCCAGCTGTGATGTAACGCTGCCTGTGCACCTCTTGGACTCTCAATAAAACTGCAGGGTGGGCAAGTCAGAGGTGAATCTCAAGTACCCAAAGCCCTCAAAACAACTCAGCCTTATGGGATAACTCCACAAGAAAGAAAGTATAATTAGCTATAGAATCCTGTCCTTGTGTCCAGCAGGCCCTATGAGATGCCAG